TGGGTGGAACTAAAAGTCAAGGATTGGCAGATAAATTCAGAAACTCAGTCCTTTTTTATGTTAATGTATCCCTTTGTTTTCATTTACAATGGTGTTATGAGCCCAACTGATGTTATTACTGATCGTTCATTCCAGACTGAAATCTGGCTTGACAAATCATGTTTTTGGAGATCTTAATGAAATGTTCTGTCATTGAAACGTACACACACATTCTGGTTTTAACAATAAAACAAAAATTTATTATGCCGAGGAAATTACGATAAAATAAAATAAACCAAATTGTTTACATATAACATGTTTAAATATTTCAAAACACAGAATAAAAACATAATCCCATTAATCCTAAAAGCACCAGCTTACAGTACTCACACTAGAGACAATTCCCTTCTTTATCACCTCAATTGCGATTAATTTGACTGTGGCTTGAACTCTCAGGCTTGAGAAACTGATCACATCTTCGTGGAACTTTCATATAACTGAGCTTAAGCTTTCTCAGATTTAAATAACCACTTCAGGGTTACTAAATTCCTTCCATTGAGGTAATCTATTTTTAACAATTATAGGCTGTATTCTAGTAAACGTTTCGGGTCCGATGACCCTTCCTCAGAACCGTTCTGAGGAAGGGTCACCAGACCCGAAACGTTAACTCTGTTTTCTCCTTCACAGATGCTGCCAGACCTGCTGAGCTTCTCCAGCAACTTTGTTTTTGTTCCTGATTTACAGCATCCGCAGTTCTTTCGGTTTTTATAGGCTATGTTCTTCCTTTCTCAGGGCCAATTGCATTACACATCCAATCAAAAACCCTGAAAAAAAAACAAATTTTCTTCCCAAGCTATGGGTGTTTTCCCTAATCAAAATAAAAATAACCAATCCCTTATCTCCTAAACTGTAGTCTAATGCACAACTGTTTTCCTTGTTCACTCGTAAAATTTTCACAATGTAAACAAAAAAACCCATTATTTTCCAGGTCTTTCTCTCACACTGTGTTTTAAAAGAAATCATCATAGCTACAGAAATACTTACAAGTTAATCATTAAACCCCTTAATCATTAAACATGCAGAAAATCCATATGCCATTCATTCAAATTCAAAAACCCAATTCAAGAGGCGTATAGGTGATGCATTGTGAAAGTTGTGCTGATATTAAATTCTCACCCCAAAGCAATAGCAATGGCTCCATTAGCATGGTGAAATTAAAGTGTGACATGTTTACATAGAATGTTCCTATTATAAAGGTGGCTGCAGGAATTGGTAATGGAAAAAAGTTGATCTGCTCAAATAAACTGCTTAATCCTTTTTTGGTAGAAAGATGGATGGTGAAGAGATGGTATCCAGTTTTATTTAAACAATCTGTAGTCTTGTAATAAAATCAAGATCATTTGTCAAATATTTTCCTGTTTTCAGCAGTAAGTTTTGAACAAGATTGAAAAGTAATTTTGTTAATTGGGAAAGATATTTGGAAAATCAGCCAAGCGCATCCAACAACATTGATCTACATTCCTTGCAGATTAAATGGAAAGATGTCAAGGTGGTTTGATGCTGGAAGATGAGTTTTTAACATAGTACACTGCTGAGCCACAGAATCTAGAAGTGCTGATAACTTGCATTTTTTGGTACTTAGAAGACATCTTTATACTGAGGCTCTGCAGCAATGATGTCACTGCCATTTGTAAATGAGCTGTTTCAGAAGGCCCCCATTGCATTTTCACTTCAAGAAGCTAGGGTCAAATTTGTCCTCTCACCCCTGACTTAATCAGTGATCTGGCCCGGGGATTAAATGGAAAATCTTCTCTGAATGTTGTTATCACATATACATAATTTTCCTTAGCTTTGGAAGGTACTAGGACAATGCTGTACACGACTCCAACAGAGGCTTCAACTCCCCAAAAAAAGTAGTTTTAATAATGGCAAACGAATAAGCAGTGACAGAATAAGCAATTGCATTTGCAACTAATGTAGGTGGAAAGAGCTTGCTTTTTCTCACCACTCTTGGGAGTTAATTGGCCTGATAAGCACTCTGAAAAGACTTTAGATGGACTTTGCAATTTGAACCAGGCGGGTTGATAAATTTTTTCTGGTCAGCAACTGGAACCATGCAGGATTAAATAACTGTCTATCAAACATAAAAAGAAGTTGCCAGTTCATCATAATTTAAATTTATCCCACAAAATGTTCGTTTGTAAATTGAATGATTGAGGTGCCCCTTGGACACCTGTGCTGCATCTGTTAAACTGAGCTAGATCCTGTTTTCCTGTGGGTAAAGCAGATTTCATGTTTAGCTCCATGTATATCACAATATGAATTAAATAAGCCAATATTCATATTGGAAAATGTTTCATAATTTGTGGGGACTAGTTGCTGACAAAAATAGCTTGTTGTCTGGGAGATAAGCATGGATGAGATTAATGAGTCTTTTAGACCTTTACTGACCCACTAAGTCCATGCAATAAACAACTCTTGTACAGTTAACACTGGCATTCATGTTAATTTCCTCCACATGCCCAAAAAGAAGATTTGAACAATACAGCATGGAATGAGGCCATTTGGCCTATCATGACTGTGCCTGCTCTTTGAAAGAAGTTATTCCTCAATTCCTCAGTTTTTTTTCAACATTCATCCATATTCCCTTTGAAAGTTATGATTAAATCTTTTTCATGACACTTTTAGGCAGTAAAATACAAATCATGACAACTCATGGCATAACAAAATTTCCTCACTTTCCCTCTGCTTCTCTTTGTTAATTACCTTAAATCTGTATCCTAATGGTTCTTACCCTTGTGTATTGAAATGGTTTCACCTTCTTTATTGCATCAAACTTGTCTTGTGATGTTGAGCAATTCTTCTACATTTTCTCTCTGTTTACTCTAAGGAGAATAAGTGCTACGTATCTGGTCTCTCTGGGTGTCTCTGAGCTGAGATTGCAAAGATCATTAAACATTTGAATGTTTCAAGCCTGAACAATGTATGAACTGTGGAAGCATCCAAATTAACATTGAATTCGTTTACCTGAAGGATGGAACTCTTTGGGACACTATTCTGTCACCTCCTGGCAGCTCACCACCACCTTTGCCAACACGGCAGTCTTTATCAGGGCACCTGGCTGGTGATTTGTTTTATTCATTCATGAGATGTGTGTGTCACTGGCTGAGCCAGCTTTTACTGCCTATCCTTACTTGCCCTGCGAAGGTGATAGTGAATTGCCTTCTTGAACAGCTGCAGTCCATTTGGTGTAGGTACACACATAGAGCAGTGAAGGAGGAAGCTCCAGAATATTGACACAGGAGTGGCAATATATTTCCAAATCAGGAAGGTGAGGGGCCTGGAGAGGAACTTGCAGGTGCTTTCTGCTGCTCTTGGCCTTCTGAATGGCAGTGGTCATGGATTTGGAGGTTCTATCTAAGCAGCGTTAGTGAATTTCTGCAGTACGTTTTGTAGATGATGTAAATGAGCATTGGTGGTGGAGGGAATGGATGTTTGCGGATGTGGTGCCAATCAAGTGGATTGCATTGTCCTGGATGGTGACAAACTTCTTGAATATTGTTGGAGCTGCACTCATTCAGGGGAGTGGGGAGTATTTCATCCAGTTCTGAGGAAGGGTCACTGGACTCGAAACGTTAACTCTGATTTTTTCTTCACAGATGCTGCTGGACCTGCTGAGCTTTTCCAACAACTTCTGTTTTTGTTCCTGATTCACAGCATCCGCAGTTCTTTTGGTTTTTATTTAGTATTGTATCACCTTCCTGACTTGTAAATTGTGGACAGCCTTTGGGGAGTCTTAGTCCTGATTTGTAGCCTTACCATCATTTTTAGCCATGTCTGATGTTCCTCGCATGCCCTCCTGCACTATCATTAAACCAGGGTTGATCCCTTAGCTTGATGGTAATGGTAGAGTTGGGCAATAAGGTTACAGATTATGTGGGAGTACAATTCTACTGCTGCTGATGGTTCACAGCACCTCATGGATGCCCAAGCTTGAGTTGCAGATCTGTTCAAAGTCTATCCCATTTAACACGGTGATAGTGCCATACAACACGATGGAGAGTATTCTCAATGTGAAGACAGGATTTCAAGCCCTTTGCAGTACTGTAACAGTTGGTGTCATTGATAGAGTCCACCTCTTTCCAAATTAGAGCATTTACATTTGAAGATGGCAGTCAGGTGTGTCGGGGAGGTCAGCAGCTAGAACTTTTATGGGTATCAAATTCCAAATTCAAAATCAAACTCGATTGGACCCTTGGTGATACTTTTATATGCTGATAAATTGTACGCTTGGTGCTGCACCCGATCTGATGAAGGAAGCTATTTTTCAACAGCATTTTCCAAAATAATCAGCACGGAACCAAACTAATCACAGCTGGAGAGAAGCAGATCCTGAATTATACCTACTCCCCAACGCCACTCCTAATGTTTCATTCCAGAAAACCAATTGTTGGTAATTTTTCGTACAGGAAGCACAATGTTAACCCTGAACATCCAATGTAATTAATTCCCAAGAGGTTTAAAATACACAACTGGAAGCCGTAATTGCTCGTACTTTGTGGTTAAACAAAGTTCCAAAATCAGGGGCAGTATCAATGACTTTAAAGGCAAAACACAGAGTAATGATTTACACCATCTGCGCACAGTGTAAAATGATGACTTTCGGTTTCAATGGGAAATACAATTTGTTTTATATAGAGAGGGCAAAATACATTTTCAGCACAATTAAAAAGAAAGCCTTGAAAACGCGAGTGCTTCAACATTTCCGAATGTCACCTTCATTTTCTTCCTGGTGGAATAGAGGAGCTGGCTGACAGGATCAGTTCAGCCAGACCTCTGCATCCTTCTCCTCAGCCCATAGCCTCCATTCCCTCCCCTAAAACTGTGTACAAATGCGGATACTCACCTCCGCCACCCGTCCCCCCACCGCAGTTCCTTAGCAAACATCGCGAGATTCTTTCCATTTGCTCATTCCACCCCCCTCCCAACAAAAAAAAAGCCCACACAAACAGACAGAGACACAACCTTGAGCAGCAAACAAGCAGCTGGCTCTTGTCTTTGCTGCTGGTACCTCGCCTGCCTCCTCTCTCTCTGAGTGAGTGTGTGTGTCTGCTCCCACCATCCATTCAACCACAGGTAAGTCACCTAGCAATGTGTTTTTTTTCGCGCATCTTGCCACCTAATGCATATGCCTTTGGCTGAACCTGAGCATCCTCATTCCTGATGTGGGTGTCTCTCTTCCACTGACTGTGAGCAGGGAGGTGGACTACTCAGCTGCAAACGGCGAGAAAGAAATGGACACAGGGTGTTATGCATGTATTTTTTAAAAAAAAGAGGGTGTCCCAGCGGCTCCCACACAGCCAGATGCATTCGAGGCGGGGTGTGTGCGTGGGTCTAAACATTTGCAAAGCATCTGCTTGTAAAGGAGACAGTGAGAGGAAGCAATCGATCCGTCTCGGTACCCATGACAACGCCACAATAATGAAGGCGCCTGTGCTATTTGTGGGTTGTTTTTGGACTGGTGCACGAAATCTTCCGAATATTTTTATTCCATAATCCCCGTGACCCCTGTATAGATGCAGCAGGTGATGGGAGTCAGTGTTGGGTCTAATTTTGCTCAATGCCCTGTCATTTTGGAGGTAGCGAGCAGCACTGAAACCCACGCTCAGAGACTCCCCTCTGGCTGTGCTCTAACATGGGCCTCAGTTTGAACAGGACTGAAGCTTTAAGGTATTGAGGGCTGCCATGTGTGGCCCACGTTAAAGTGTCTGCTGATTATATAGTCCTTCCCTCACCTTACCTCCTTCCAGGGCTCCTTCAGCATGAGTTAGGTTGAGGGTTTGAGTCGGCCACTTGGTCATCCCATTGGCAGCACTGGCGACGGTGTGTGATCAGGAATGTGTAGGAAACACGACCCTTTTCGAGCAAAAATTGTTGCCAGTCTCTTTACCTGAAGTGAAATGTTGCAATCTCCTCAGCACAAGGAACAGGTCAGAGATGGGGAACTCTGAATAAGGGCAGTGTTTCCTGTTGAATGACTGTTCGCCTAGATTGGCCACATCCTGTGCAGAGAGGTGTGTTGCATTTATTTTAATGCAACAAAGGATCCCTTGTTAAAGCTGATTTAATCAAACCACAAAGTGTAACAACAGGAACAGGAATAGGCCACAGACCTGGAGCCTGCTGCATCAGTTAGAACATGGCTGATGTGTCCTGTAACTCTAATGTACCTGCTTTTCCTCCATGTCCCTTGATACTCCTGGCCCACAAAAAAGAACTGTCTTCAAAGATGTATACATCCCATCGCACACACAGTTTTGAGTTTAGGATTTCCGCTACCTTTTTATTCACTTGTGGGACGTGGGCATTACTGGCTGGCCAGCATCTATTTATTGCCTGCCCTTGAGAAGGTGGTGGTGTACTGCCTTCTTGAACCGCTGCAATCCATGTGCTGTCAGTTGACCCTTAATGCACTTAGGGAGGGAATTCCATGGATTTTGACCCAGTGATGCTGAAGGAACAGCGATACATTTCCAAGTCAGTATGGTGAGTGGCTTGAAGGGGAACTTGCAGAGGGTGGTGTTCCCATGTATCTGCTGCCCTTGTCCTTCTGGATGGAAGACTTCATGGGTTTGGAAGGTGCTGTCTGAGGATCTTTGGTGAATTTCTGCAGTGCATCTTGTCGATGGTACACACTGCTGCGACTGAACGTCGGTGGACGGAGTGGATGTTTGTGGATGTGGGTCACACCTTTTGTATGAACTCTTGATTTTGCTGCTAAACATCTCAGTTCTGACATTAAACGTTATGTTTCCCTGGTAAAACATTTCTTCAGGAGAGAAATTACTTTCTCCAAGTTGCCTGTGGTGAATCCTTTAACATATCTGAGAGCTTTCTTGAGACAGTGATCGTATCAAGGGAGCTTAATGGCTGATTCCACCTTTTCTTTCACATATCAACTGCACCATCCCTCAGTACAGCAATGATCCTGCATTTCTGAAGTTGGTGAGCTACCACACCCCAAATGGGTTCTTTGTTCCTGTGAAGGAAGGGCCTTAATTTGTTGAATGTTCATTCTTATTCCATACTTCACTTGTTCTGAATCCAGTGGAGCATGGAAATTATACAGTGAAACTGGAAAAAGGAGGAGACCATTCAGATCTCTTCATGCAATTAAACCACTATGATTTGTATCGTAACTCAAATTATCTGCCCTACTTCTTGTAACCTTTATATCCTTGCTCATCAAAGTCTATCTGTCTCAATTGTAAAACTTTCAACTTACTTCCAGCCTTGACAGATTTTAAAAACTGTCCGTTCAAGATTTCTGCCATTTTTCACACAACCTGGCATCACAACTTTTACATTTTTTAAAATTCTTAATCTGCTTGTGAGCCCTACTGGCTGGGCCACCGTTTAATTCTCCTCTGTAATTATCCTGGAGAAGATGGTGGTGAGCTGCCTTCTTGAACTATTGCAATCCTTGGTCCATAGGGACACCTACAGTGCCATTAGGGAAGAATTTGATCCAGTGACACTGAAGGAATGGTGATATATTTTCAAGTGAGGATGGTTTGTGTTTCGGAAGGGAACTTGCTGATGTTTCCAAGCCTCTGAACCTCTTGTCCTCCTGAGGATTGATTCCTGGGACTGAGTGCTACATTCCAGATGTGAGCTGACCAGTATGAATGTGAGGCTAATCTTGTTGAATTGATCTTGTCTGAAAACTAAAGATCCATGCGCCATTCAACAGGTGAAGGAAATCAGTGGTTTTCTGACAAACCATCATCTGGATGTCCCATCAGAACATGCTACAAATGATTTTTCCCTGTTTTGTGCAGAAGTTATCAATGGCTATAGGTGTAAAAGACTATCTCACTGCTCTCTATCTTTCTAACCTCCTCCAGCCTCACAGTGCCCCGAGATCTCTGTGTCTCTTCAATTCTGACCTCGTGTGTATCCACAGCTTGAGGTGTCAGCTGTGGCTTTTGCTGAGCTCTGGAATTCCATTCTAAAGCCGCGGAACCTTTTTCTAATGCACTGATTAAATCTGCATCTTAGATCAAGCTATTGACCACCTACTACCAATCTCCTTTTGTCTCTTGATACTGTAGTTTGTTTGATAGAAGCGTTTTGGAATGTTTAATTACATTAAAAGTGCTCTATAAATTCAAAGTGTTGTTGAAGGGAAAGAAGAGGGGTGGGGATTGTGTTTTAATTAAGCAGTCTAACAACAGAGAGACAGTGGAAGGAGTGGAGAGTGGGGATGAAGATGGAGAACTGAATATTGTCATTATACATCTAGACGTTGAGCCCATGTCTTTGGTTGTATCACCAAAGGGAAACATGTAGATGAGGGACATTTAACTTGGCGATTCAATTGTAACAGTGTAAGGTAGGCAGAAAAGTCATGCCTGGTGATGAGCTAACTATGATTTGCATAGGTATGGATGGAAACAAATGAGGACAATCCCACTAAATTGGAAAATAGAGGAGAGACATTGGCTGACAAGGTCAGGTGTCCCTGTTTCACCTCCATTCACCATGGTTAGAGTTGCAAAGGATGTCATTTGCAGCTTAAAAGGGAGGAGGATGTTAGCAGAATCACAGAATTGTTATGCTCAGAAGAAAGCCGTTCAGCCCATCTTGCCCAAGTGAGCATCATGAATTAGTGCCATTCTCCTGTTTTCACCCCCGCACATCATATCTATTTGAATAATCATCCAATGCCCTCTGGAATGCCTTGGTTGGATCTGCTTCCACTGAACTTTCAGGCAGTATCTTCCACTTGTAACTCAAATTATCTGCCCTACTTCCCTCATCTTCCATATGACCAAAACTGAGGCAAGTACCTAACATGGAGTGGTGGGGATGGGGCAACTAGGCTATTTAGGAGCATACTGGGAAATTGGGGATGAGGAGGGATGAATCAAGGGCAGGTAGATGAAAGATGTCCAGAGAAAGAGAGGATGAAGGTGATTGTGGAGAAACCACAGAATGAGATGGAACAAAAACAAAGTTGCTGGAAAAACTCAGCAGGTCTGGCAGCATCTGTGGAGCAGAAAACAGAGTTAACGTTTCGGGTCCGGTGACCCTTCCTCAGAACATTAGGGTGGATTGGCCATGGGAAATACAGGGATAGGGTGAGGAGGAGTGTCTGGGTACAGTGCTCTTTGGAGGGTTAGGGTGGACTTGATGGGCCAAATGACCCTTCCTCACAGAATGAGATGGGATCTTCCTGAGAGCAGTTGGGTAAAGCTAAGAGATGGTTTGACTTTATATGAAAGAGGAAGAGGAGAGCTTGCCATTGGTCTATCAGCATTGTGAGTACACAGTACCTCAGCTCTGTCAGAAGTTGGGATTGTTCATGTTAAAGCAAGGAAAGGAATGTGTTAGGGGTGTTGAAAAATATCCCAATGGTTTTAATCGACTAAATACGGAGAAACTGTTTCTATTACAAGAGGTTTGGCAATTAGAGAATATAGATTAAGAAAAAATACCAGAGAGGGAGTTTTTTTTTAAAACAGCAAGTTATTACAATTGGAAGTGCACTGCCTGAAAGTATAGTGAAGCAGTTTCAATAGTAACTTTCAAAAGTGCAAGGGGATACTGTAAATATTTGAAAAGGAAAGATACAGACAGTGGGAAGAAGAGAAGGAAATGGAGCTAAGCAAAAAGAGACAGTGCAGGCACAAGAGGCCAAATAGCCGCCTCCTGTGCTGAGTGATTTTATATAAATGTATTTAACTGCTATATCAAGTACATGCACACACCATATTGACTGTCTTTATATGTTTATATACAAGCTGCATGCTGATATCACCTTACCTTGACATTAGTATCAAAATTATTCATAGATTCAAATACTAGATATAGTTGAAACAGGATGCATAATTCAGACATGAGTATATTGTACTACATCCATCTTCTAGCTATGAATATAAATATGATGTAACAACTAGAGATCGTATAGCTTCTTAACATAACAACTCTCAAGGTCGTCAATTGCCTTTAGCCATCTCAGCCTTAAATCTAGAATTCCCGCTTCACCTCCCTCCTCCTTTAAGATGTACCTTAAACTTACCTGTTGGTCCAAGCTTCTGAGTTTGTGCCCCAATGTCTCCTTGTTTGGATTG